AAATTGCCGGTAAACAGAAACGCAGCAGCGTAGCAACAATTGATTGAAGTACCATGTAAAATGTGAAATGGTCACCTTTTTATCGCTGACCGGCAGCTTCCCCAACTTCTTCCCGACCACCTTCTCTATTTCTTGGAGTAGAAATATGTCGTACTGTGTGACGAACGTCAGTGCACAGCCAAATCTCCCAGCTCGTGCAGAACGGCCCACACGATGAATATAAGTTTTTGGATTCTGCGGTACATTATGATTTACAACCAAATCAACCTGAATATAATGAAGCATATGGACCAGTTTTCATCATAAACTATCAACCACAGTCAAAAAACAAACATGAGGTATATCAAGTCCACGTGATGCGACATCAGTGCATATCAGAATTCTTGTACGACCGGACCGAAATTTCGTTAATGCAGACGACCGTTCCTGCTGACTAATTTGGGAATGTAAAGAGCCAACCTATAAAAAAAAGTATATGTGAGTATATTCGATGCAACTGACAATGCTGGAAACAGGCAGAAATACAAATCAAAATGTTTGTTCAAAATGATAACTTAGTCAAAAAATGAGACGAACTTGAAAACCCAATCCACTGAACATGATCGCGAGAGCCTGACATTCACGGCAGGTATGCGAAAAGATTAAAACCGAACTGTCTGGGTGTTTTTCGTGAAAAATCTTCACAACATATACTAAATATGCATCTTTTACAGCGGTTGGGCAAAGCACGTATTTTTGTTCCAATTTATCCACCGTCGCCACATCGCTTTTGTCCTCGAAAAAGTATGGCCTCTTTACCGATACCTACAATACTATTAGTGAACGGCAAAGAAAATACGAAATTTTAACTGGATCGGTCACTCAGATTCTTCAGGGAAGCAACACAAAGATTACCTGATGAAGCTGACTCAGCGCTGAAGTGATCGTAGCACTAAACAACAGAGTCTGCCGTTGTTTTGGTAAAAACCCCAATACTGTTTTCAGCTGCAAAAGATTCTAGTTTAATAAACGTAATTCGTACGGCGAAGAAAAAGAAATCGGAGGAATGCTGAGCGGTGTGCTTTCAGTAACTACTTAGCAGCATTCTCGAGCAGAAATACGATTATTTCGTAGCGCACCTCTTAAGAATGACTGCCCTATGAAGAGACATGTAAGAACTTATAGAAATGTAATGAGAGCAATAGAAACGAAGCATGTCTTTCCGGAAAAGCGTAGGAAAAAAGGGAGAGATGAAAACGCCAAAGTGGTAAGCACGTTACTTGTCTGGCGATAATCCAGATTTGTCAAACAACCACAGATGTGTCAGTTCCCCAATGGCGCAAAGATATGAAGGGGATGACCGATTGAAGTAAAGAATGAAATATAAAATATCAGTCGCTACTGTATTAAAGGATTTTATTAACTGTAAATTACAAATGCCTAAACGCGATTCTTTCTGACGTATTCTTGCTGTTTTTTTGCATTTTGCGCTAAGTAACAGCAGCACAAAACGCATACTGTCACGGGACTGTCTGTGTGTGTGTGCGTGTGTGTGTGTGTGTGTGTGTGTGTGTCCCAGATTTCGTCTC